CACACACACACACACACACACACACACACACACACACACACACACACACACATAAAAGGACATTTATCACTCTTTAATGACAGACTTCACAAAAGATGATGTCACCAGCCGCAACACAACAACGCACAACAAAAGGGTGACTGCCCCACTCTCCTCTCAGCTGGACCGCAGTGACCTCACGTGATTGATAGGCCTCAGTCCTACTTACTAGGGCTCTTTGTGCTGCTGTGGTTGTCATGGTATGTGGCACATGGGGCCTCAGCGCTGCTGCTGCCGCTGCCGGTGCTGCTGCCGCTGCCGGTGCTGCTGCTGCTGCTGCTGCTGCCGATGACTAAGAGTGAGTAATCAAAACAGTCGTAGAAACTGGCCTGCCTCACAAAGATGGTTGTTACCATCAAAATGTCATCAAACACTTGATATAAGGCCGTGTTTGTGCTTGCGGATAAGCGTCTATCGCCTTTGTCAGTTGTGGTATGCTGCCAGGCTGTTTGTGTTGTGTCTGTGCAGTTAGTTAAAAGCACTACGTGCGCACAGGCAAAATATGTGGCTTGAAATCTGAACATGTGTGTGTGTGCTCTATGTTAGCCGGTTTAGATGTGACATGTTGGTCTTATTGGCTTTGTGTCACCTGTCGGGTTCCATTAGCAGACATGCCAGTTGTTGTCATGGGGAGTTTGTCCATCATCAGTCCCAATAACACACTGTATTCATAACAACAGCTTATATGGTGCCCCAGCTTCAAAATCCCCTCTCCCTCTCCAGTGTATCCACTTCAGAGAAGTTATAATAAACAGACATAAAAAAATACCCTTTACACACACATGGTACCAGCCTAAGACTTCCATCCTGGCAACAGTTCCCCCTGGGCAGTCCCCAAACGCTGGCAGTTTGATCCTTCCAGTAGGATCTGGGGCTGTGATTGAATGTCCATGCTCACTGGAAAACCTTAAAAAGAAGGCACTGAGAAAGCACCCCAGATTTCTGAAACTCCTGGAACTAACTCTGACCTCCAGTCAGATATCGAAACACCTCAAACTATTATTGATCAGGTCGCTAAGTAAAATATCTCGACCGTTTGGTAAGTGGTTGCTGGCAGTTGAAACTGGTAGGGTGTTGCACTGAAAAACCTCCATGCGATTTCTTTGGTTTTTAGAAGGGAGTGTTTATTTTGTTGATCAATCATTTTTGCAAACAACCTTTTTTCCTGATGAAAACAAGACGATAAGTTATAACTATGTAAAAACTAATGGGCGAGGACAAAAACTATGATGAAATGTATTCACCCAATGAATCTCAGTGAATAAAAACTAGATGAAATTGTTCTGGAAAGATAATATCCAATCAGAACTAATTCATTTGTGTAGAAAGGCGGGATGAGTTTGGAAGTGATCCAATCAGATGTATTCTCCCTGTACAGTAAGCCACAACTTTTACTTTGAAGGTGAGCAACCACTCTCCAACTGATTGGGGAGTAAAAGTACCAAAGGGACCAGTGGTTGCTCTGTGAGGCCTTAGCCGTCTCATCCTTACCCAGAGCTCCTTGAACATAGACTGACTGGTAAATTGGAATCTTTTCGCTTCAGCCCAGCTCTCTCTTCACCACAACCATCCATTAATTCTTTTACCATCACCAGAGAACAAGACCCCAGGAGGCCTGGAGACAGCAACTCTCTGACAACCGAAAAGGAGCAATCCAATGTTTTTTTGGCAGCGAACAATGACCTCAAACTTGGAGGTGCTGACGCTCATGCTGGCCTCTTCACACTCAGCTAGAAACCGCCACAGTGCATGCCAGAGGTCATGTTCTGATGAAGCCAAAAAATCCCATGTCATCTCCAAAAGAAAGCAGAGAGGTGCTTCTGGGTTTCTGTTACTAGACACCATACTCACCCTGTGAAAAATAAACTTATTTTAGTAGAAATAATTTAGATAATGTTCTCTTTATGTCACAGTTTGTAAGTCTGCACAAATCCTGTCCCACAGCAGTTACTCACGATTTTCCATCAGTTTCCAGTAAATGTAAATAACCTCAACAGCATTTCTTTGAATGAGTGTTCTTATGCATAAACACACATATTTAACAAATACACTCATCAAGACTTTCCGTTTGAAATATATACAATACATTTATATATATGTAAAAAAAACAACAACAACCTTTTCTGTGGTTTCCCTTCAAACGGGTGCGTTGTAAGCTGACTCACTGGCTCAACTACAGCAGATTTCCACTTCCACTTTGGCCCGTTCATCTGAGACGCTGCAGAAAAGCAGAGAGACAGCAAATAGTAATGGAAGGAGGAAGAAAAGGAGATCTGGAAGCCATTAAAAGCTGGCAGCTGTGGCCTGGAGTGGCTGATTCAGAGGACGAGAGAGAGGAAGAAAGAGAGAAGGAGGGCACGCCACATGATTGCCATAATGATTGTAATATCTGTGCATGTGTAGGTCATTAATGTAGAGCCTTGTGATTTAACAGCAGGGAACATGAAGACTGTAAAAAGGCATTTCCAAAGGAAGTCTTTACTCTTTAAATCTCATACGGCTCTGCCTGCATTTCCTCTAGGGAATTATAAAGTCTTATCTGCTCGTGTTTATCCATCCTCTCCAATCAGATGTCTTTTTTTAAAAATCTCTTCCTTCCTCTCTCGAAAGGTTCACAGCTACCACATGAGCACGCACACACACGCACACACACGCACACACACGCACACACACACACACACACACACACACACACACACACTCTCTCTCTCTCTCTCTCTCTCTGGCAACCACCGCTGTGTCTTTACTGTACACAAAAAGGAGAGAGAAAAAGAGAAATGTAAATTGTCCATGTAGATGGGATCATTTGTTAAACCTCTCCCCAAAACAGGGGCTGTCCAATTATATCCTAGTAACAGTAACCAGGCACAGCAAAGCTGTCAAGCTTTAGGTTTTCAAAGATTTCAGCAACTGTGTCTTATTTCAATCATCCATTCAAAAAGACATCTGATAAATGGTAACATACCTATGCTTATAACATGATATTTGTCGTGATAGAACCGACAGTAATGGACCAACTAATAGAGTGTTTTCTGGGCTGATGCTGAAACTATTTTTATGAAGTATAAATTCATGATATTATCATATACAGCGATATCCTTCATGCACTCTGGGAGTAGTCTGGATTTACAGTAAAGAGAGAATGAATGGGTCAGTTCCAGTATTTAGTGTTATCTGTTACAAAGCAGAGTGTACCATCAGATTACTTTTTCCTTGTGGAGGAAGTGATGGCTGTAGCTCAGGAGGTAGAGCAGATCAACTATTAATCTCTGCTAATTGGAAGGTTGGTGCTCGAGTCTGCCAAATATCCTCAGGCAAGATACTAACCCCAAGTTTCTCTCTGATGCATTAAAGTGTGAATGTTAGATAGAAATCACTAAAGCATAGAAAAGGTGCTTGAGTGCTCAGGTAGAGTAGAACCAGTCCTGTTAACTTGTAACAATTCATTTTTAGTAATCGTGTAACAAATGCCTTTATACAAAACACCATCTGTTTCTATTAAACTGTTGCTGCAGTGGTGAAATATATTCAATCCCGTGGGTGTGTCAGTCAGCATGTTAAGGTCAGACAGTGGTATTTACATTATTTTGTGTTGGAGTGATGCTGTCAGCTGTTAAGGAGCTCTATTTTATATTTTGATAATTCCAGAAGCTTGATGAAAAGAAGAATAATGCTGATGCCAAATTTTCAAAACTGCAAGAGCTAGTTTTTAGTTAAAGCTGTCACTTTGAGAGAAATTAATCATTTTGTTGTTGGGAATTTGCTACCAATATCAGTTTGCTATGCAATAACATAAAGTCAGGGCTATCAGGGAAAAGGTAGGCTACACACCCTTTGCACAAGATAACCAGGCTGCACCAGCTAAATGCAAAGGTATGTAACAGATTCCTTTTAAATGACAGTATTTTTGTGACGCAACAAGTCACTTCTAGCAATATATACTGATCAGGCATAACATTATGACCACTGACAGGTGATGTGAATAACACTGCTTATCTCTTCATCATGGCACCTGTTAGAGGGTGGGATATATTATGGAGCAAAGAAAAAAAAATCCTCAAAGTTGATGTGTCAGAAGCAGGAAAAATGTGAATTGTGATGACTAGACATCTGAGTGGGAGCTTCCCCAAAACTGGAGCTCTTGTGGGGAGTTCCCAGTCTGCAGTGCTCAGTATCTCACAACTTGCAGGACTTGAAGAATCTGTTGGTAACATCTTTGTCCAGACACCACAACATGTTTTGATGTTAATCTTCTACATGTGCTGCAGACTGTGCTGAGAATATAGTTAGTATTGGAGTTCAAGGTAAACTGTGTGACGACCCTATTTCTAAATTTAAAAACGTTTTTATTAATATGGGATATACATGAAAACTATTTGCGATGAGCTGTGATCAGTCAATATATTGGTTGGCTTAGGTTAGCACAGCAGTTCTGTGAAGTGCTATTTTAGGCAACTGAAAGTCGGTCTTAGCTTATGGTACCTAGCCAGAGCTGATAAAATCTATTAGCAACATTTCTCACTTGCCCTGATAGCATCTTCAATAATCATCAGCTAACAGTGAAAAGCATGCCTTTGTTAACTGAGCGGAATAATTCCCCCCCAAACCATTATCATGTGTCATAGCAGTAACTAAACTAAGCAGGGCTCTCATCCTGTAACAATCATCACGTACATTCAACTCCGAGACTGATCAGTAAGCATAATCCGGTGCATCCATGTGAGTCAGGTTAGTGCCAGGAGAGGAAGTGCAGCGGGTTGCCATAAATAGAGAGCAGACAGATTCCAGAGGAACAATTCCAACTCTCCAATATCCTGTTCAAAAAGCAGCGGGTTAGCCACCTCGTATGATAGGGGACTCTGGGTTTTCACCCATGACTCACTGCGACTCACTCACACGGACCCACATCGCTCGACTCATCCCAGATTCAAACACATAATCTTGCATATTCAAATAAGGGGTAAAGCTAATATTGCATGTTATGTATGTACATATGCAAACAAAATTATATAAATACACACAAAATATGGATGTGAGTCTTCATAGTGATATCAGTTTTTGTGATCCAACACAGTGACAGTCAGTGATTAATGGAGAAAATCGTAAATGTTTGTTGCAGGTCTGCCATCAAAACTAAAAGAACTGCACACAGAACAATTCCTTTATTTGGCATGCTATCTTCATCACTATCTCAACTCAAGCCACTGCTTTCAGCCTGGTTAACCACTTTGTTCGGTGGTGTGCAACATTAAAAGCTGGGTCAGTCCCATTTCATTGGACAGTATCTACTTTTTAAATGTGCACAGTCAGCTTCTCTCCACATGGCCGATTTTCAGTTAAAAATCAACTGAATGAAGCACTTCTCTCCCTCTGCACTTTTTTTTCACCTCTTTATTTTCCCATTAAGTTTTTTTTTCCCTGTTTCTCTTCACCATCTCTGGTGGTCTGACATTAACACTGCGATGGTCAGACAGCCATGTGATCCACCAGGTCAGCAAAGGGAGAAGGCAGACACTGACTGGCTCACAGAGCACACATACAGAAAGAGAAAGAGAGAGGGGTTTTCACCTGTTATCTAGGAAGAAGAATATTTATGCCTCTCAGAGTGAAAGCTAAAATAAAAGCCACAGTTGTAGCTGTGGTAGAGTAAGTATGATCTGTAGATACGAATAACATGCTTACTTTACATTCTGTAACGATTAAGGCTTTTAAACCTTTTGATGTCATACAACTCAAACTGCAGATACTTGAAATTTGAGAAAATCCAGATTTTTATTTTG